ATCTCAAATTGTTGCTCTCTCTTTAGGGTTTGGATTGTGGTTTATAGTCAATGGCTGATTAGGGATTCAATTTGTGCTGGTTTCTAAAACTAAATTGAAGCCTAAAAGTTCCATTGGTGAATCTTCAAACCAAATCCAATTTGGCTTAAATTTTGGCAATTTGAAATTTGAAATTTCTAAAGGATCAAAAACGGTATTGAATTTGGAAGAAGAGAAAAGAGAATTTGTGAACAAGGAGTTTTTCACAACCTGTGTCTGGGCTTTAATGGTAGGAATGATCGGTTACCGGGTTACTCGTCGATAATAATCATGTCGGCTTCCTCATTTTTCTTTTCCGTCTTTGTCTTGTTGTCCATCATCTCCTAACCTTACTCCTCCACAAATTATGAATCCAGAAAAACAAAATAATTCATAATTGAAACGATGTTAAAGATAAAAAAATCGTAGAGAAACGATCAAAAGAATGAGATACAAAAAAAAATACAATCAAACATTAATTATTATTTCATTACAATTTAAGATTCTAACGAAATAAAACACAAGGATGCAATCCAACATCTCTGTTGAGATAATGCAAATGTATCGATAGAAGCAAAACATACTACAACTTGTTTGTTCAATAGATTTTTTTTTAAAACATATTTGATGCAAGAAAAAAGATGACCAATCATTTTTTTAGGGAATCGTAGTGAATATTGATAAATTATAAAAACATACAATTTGAGGATTTGGGCAAAAGAAGATATCTTCGATATGCATACGATGTAATCCTTATAAATGAACAGTTTTTTCACATTGTATATGTGTTTGACCAAAAAAAAAATATTGCATATGTGCAACAATTTGCTCCAAATGTTTAATTTTCTAACCTAGATAATTATAATGTTTAATCTTCTAACATAGATAATTACTTAGTACAACAACATTTTTTGTAATATTAAATACAAAATAATCAATAGGTTAGAATTGTTGCATATTTTAATGAGAAATTTTAAAAAATGTCACATTTCATATGCCACTTTACAAAAATGCCACACTTTAAAATTGTTTACAAGCGTGCCATTATTCATTAAACCAAAAGTCAAATCTG